GTCGCCTTTGAGCCGAAGACGTGCTTTGCAGGCGGCAGTGGAAAGCTGTGACCTCATGTGAAATACGGGAAGCGCAGGGAACTGGTTGACTGGTCTGAAATGACCAGGGAATCGGTGCAACATCTTCCAGACAATTGCAGCTCCCACCTTAGTTTCTTCAATCTACTTGCACAAATTTTGCGTTTAGCATGTTCTACTCATGTTTTGGATACCCATTGTGTTTTTCCTTCCAAGAAATTTATCTTACCCGACAATCCCACACCAGCATTAATAAGAGCATGTTTATTATCATTCTAGAATCTGACTACACCTGTAGAGGCGTCCTGATTTTAATATTGAAAATAATATTTGTTCTAAGGCGGCAAGAGGGCGAAGGGACTATGCGGGTTGATGCGGGTGGCATTTAAGCAGGGATAGTTAAACGGATGTTGTATCGGCAATAGTCAACCACAGAGAACAAAGCTTTAGGACTGAAGGCTCTCAATTGTGCCACTAGTTTCTATCCAGAAGTGTGACTATCTTGGTGGCCCAACATGTTCAACATCAATCAATTGATGGTGTGCTGTCAACTACAGTATAATAGTATGTGCCGTCAATTACTGTATTTGTGATTGTTATTGATGTTGTTTATCCACGTGAAAACGCTGAGATGAGTTGCTGGCTCTGCTGATCCATTTTTTGTGTCCTGCCCTTCCTGCTACCCGCATATGCCAAGCTTGTGCGCCGCTGTTTCTCTTTCTTTTGGAAGGATTTGGAAGGCAAATCTGAAGGTTCAAATAATTATGTGCGCAGGCGTATCTGTATACACAGGTGTATCCGTAATAGTAGTTATATGTCTACACACATAGTGTATCGCAGTCAGTTTTTGTGTATAAAGTGTTCTTTTGCTGGCAGAAGCGTGGAGTACGGGATTGGACCTGCATCCCTCTAGACTTGCTGCACAGTTTGGCTTCTATGATACCGGCATGCAATGGGTGGCGATTGTATGCCATTGTGAAATACGGCCACTGGGACATCCGTTCTGTCAAGCTGCAGCTCGGAAACGTGCTGCAACTGCGCCCAACCAAACGAGAGATGCTAACCACACCCTTGCGGCGCAATTTCAGAGCTGCTTCAAGGTCTGGTAGGGCCCGAGCTGCCAGACACTTACAGCGAGCTGTTGCTTCTTGTTCTCCTTGTGAATGCATTTTAACGAGTTGGGGTTCCAAGAGGATCTCCGGATTGTGATTTAGAACATATCACTTCACATGGTTTGACCATCAGCAACTTTGAGCCGTGGCCATATTTTCCGTTGTCCCAGGAAAATGAGGCGCCTGCTTCCTTTGCAAATCAGTGATGCCGCTGCTGTCTTCGCAATCATTCTGATATTTTGTTTGTTTGCTCAAGCTGTACTCAAGCTTTGGGTCTTTGTTGTATCATTCAAAAAGGCTGGAGCATTTGCACCTATGGTGAATATAGAACAGTCTCCAGGTCAAGTTGACTTTTTACCCACTGCATTCTTTCTGCGTGAGAACACGATTCATTTCCCAGGGCGCTAGCCGCTCACAGTCTCCAGCCAATGCCTTGGAACGTGTCACACAAGTCTAGGTGAATCAGAGCGAGTCACCTGATCATGTTTTCATCACGGTTTCATGGAGGTTCAGTTTGCACATCAGCTTTCATGGGCCCGTGCTTTCCTTACTTTCCAATCACTCAGGCACAAGCCGCTCGCAATGCGCGTTCCCGTTCTGTCCTTGGTTTGCAGGCTATGTATATATAATTTTTTATTACATAATGATTTTCTTTGCAAAAACGGGTGCATTTCACAGAAGAGCCGATCCTGGTTGCTGAGGCGTTGTTCCATCAGTGGCATTTGGCAGTCCCGGGTTAGTGAAAGCTTCAGCTTTTCTATTTTTTCCTGGCAGTCTTTGGCTTGATAAAGTCACACTTGCAAACACTTGCATACACTTGCTAGTTCTTAAATGCTTCGTCCAAGTTGAAATTGCTGTAAAACCAGCGGGCGTGTTTTTCACGTCGGAGCCTTTCATGTCGTCAGTGAGTGACGCGTCATCGTGAGGTCTCTGGTAGACCGTCTAACGCTGCTTCAACAATCGCGCGGCCTGGAAGTGGTACTGCCGGAATCCCAAAGGGTGGTGATCAGATAATATGAACATGTTGCTTGTGTTGCTTACCTTTAGAATGCGTTTCAATCTTTCTAAGTTGTACACATCATAGACATAGACCGTTGTGGACATGTGAAAGACTACTTCAGGATCTCCCAACAAGATGGATTGAAATGTAGTGTGTCACTATGCCAAGCGTCTCAAATATGAATTGTCGAAGGAAGTTTAGAAGTCAAACTTCCGACAATATGGACAGATGAAAAGCAGAGCAGGGCAGAGGCAGAGAGAAGAGAAAGATTAGAAGAGAGAAGATCAGAGAAGAGAAAAGAGTCAGAAGAAAGAAGATGCAGATGCGCGAAAAGGTAGGAAAGTCGCGAAACACTGTGTTTTTCCATGTT